TTCCGATTAAAGGGGCTAAATATTATATATAGTCTTTCTTCAGAGAACTCCCTACGATATTTTGACTGCATTTAAAAACATATCTCAAGATACCAGAATATAAACTAACAAAAATGATCACTTTTTTATAGAACCATGCGATTATGTAAAGGTGTAAATTAGAAACACATGGTATTGAAGTACAGCACATAAAAAAATAAATATAAAGAAGTGTTATAAATGTTTATGTTCATATAAATCTGATATATCATGGATAGACTTATCCAGAAAAAAAGGTGATCGACTATCAAATAAGTTACATAACGTGAATCCAATTTAAATTTATAATCCATCCTGTTTTAGTTTTGTAAGTGCTTAATATATTCACCACAGTATATACAGTAGCACAGTATGTTCGGATTAACTCATATAAATTAAAATCGGATTATAAAATTATGAAATACTAGTAACCATTTATGAAAATATGTGCCAATCCTTACGTTTAAGCGTAATTATTGGTACTTAAAGTCAAGGTGTGTTTAAACTGAAAATTGGATGATGTCTTGTATATGTGTCGACTTTGTAAAAATCGTCCGTCAAGAAAATTCACACATGCAATAGCATATAAAAAGAGGCGGCAAATATCAAGCGGAAAATCAAAAATTTAGCAATGATAGACTTAAGTTATCCACGAGTTTTACATGAACTGTCATAACCTTTAAACAATTTATCTTTAATATAATTATTTTTCATATAATTCGTGAATGATAAACTTGAATTTTTCTACTGTAGATTAAGTAATGAATAAATCAATTATAATGGTTTACTTTTATAAATTTTGACTTGGATGGAGAGTTGTCTCATTGGCACTCATACCACATCTTCTTATATCTAATTACAGTATCAAATCAAACTAAAAAACTGTCTACAGAGCTTAATTATAAATTCACACCGCTGCTACCTTGCTATGTTTAGAAATGTTGAAGTCCATGGTTTGCTGTAGAAATCTCAAGAACAATAAAGCATACGGTACACAATGATGTAGAACTTTTTGCAGTCGAAATTTCTCTATGTGATGCTTTCAAACCTTTTGAGTGAATATTGAGATTTAAGACTTTTGATACTGATATCCACGCGCAGGACATATGTTTCTGGAATAACATAACCAGTTTCGTAAGCCAAAAAAAAAGAGAGAGATAACTTTGCCTGAGAGAGTTGAGCTTCGGTTGACATGTGCAAAATATTTGGAAAAAACAACATAGCTATCTTTTAAAAGGACAAAATACTACAAAATCTTATCTTATAAATGGATCAGTTTGGCTTCTTGCTTGGTAAGATGTACAATATTATTGCCTCAAATATTCAAGTGTAAAATTAACAAATGTTCTTTCCCATATTCTTTTTTTATAGTCCATAAAGGATCAGCAATAACGCAACATCCGGCGAAAGTTGCGAAAGTTCATGAAACAAAATTTTATACTTTTTTAAAACTTTTTCCTACTATCACAAGATAAATTTTGTTTTTTTTACACAGACATGACATGAATAACACTCTTCTTTCAATCGACATTGTGTTATTTTTTAAGCGAATAAGCTCTTACTTTGATAAAGAAATTCTTTATCATGTCGTGAGTCAATTTCGTTCTCTTTTTTTTTTTATTTAAGGCGTCAATGATCAAACTTGATATCAGCAACACAACGGTTTTCAAGAACTGCTTACACTTCCGAACCACTTCAGAACACACGAACAGTATGCTTGGGTTCTTCAATTTTCAATGTTTGTTTAGTGTTTGTGGACGAATTTTCGTCCGTTTGTATGAAATCATTTTTAGAGAATTTAAAGACATGAAAAAGCCTTCTTAATTGTTGTGTACCTATTATTTATTTTCTTTTAGACTATTTGCTTGAATTTTCCATATAACAACTATAGACTGCAATATTTCTATACATAAGATGGTAACAGAGGTGTGAAGCTTTCTAGTTTTATAAAGCAGTGTGATGTCCTGATTTTATTCAGTTTTATTCGATGATTAGTCTAGTTGATACATATATATCATCAATGAAATATCGTAAAAAAACATTATCTACGGTTAAGGTAAAAACATGATTTCTTCTTATGTTTCAAACATTTATAAAAGCAGAATATTGAAAATAATATTTCGCTACTACCAGTCAAGTTGTTTAAATTTTGCAAAAATTAGCTCAAAACATCGATGTTGTATAATTGGCTTGTAAGTCAATAAATCAACCTCATTTGAATCTGCATTCACGCGACATTTGATTTAACCTTAGTTGGAGTTGGGTTTCACGTGTGATCAACATCTCAGCGATTGAAGCGAATTTCACCTAAAACTAGGAAAGACAGCAGCAGAAATACAAATTTTGTACAAAAAAGTAAGTCTTGTACAGAATATGAGTAAATGATTTACATTAATTTACGTCTTAATCTATGAAATGAGATCAAGCGGAACTACTGTTTCACGTGCTTACCTGATATCTATCTAAACTTGATGTTTAGCCTTCTGTTCATATTGATCATTACAACGGTGTACCGTTAGGAATACAAACGAAATTTTGATATTTTTAGGATTATAGACATAATATTGTTTATTGCTTTCTATGGAACATTTGGAGTTCTTTATTACGTTTTAGTATATTTTAAATCAAATTTGAAAGCTAGAATAATATTTCTGAGCATAAATTTGGCAGCTAAGAATATAATATAAAGATACATTGCTGGTGGTTATTACAGTTGATAAGGTTCATTGATAACTTAATTCACTCATTTCTAAATTTATATTTTATTACATGTATGACATTTCTAGAAGGACAATTTTTATCTTTACGACATATCAACGCCATCTACAATCATAACATGTACATCTACTGTTCACTTGATTCTGTTTTCGTTTGTAGATCTCGGTACAGGTCAGCAAGGTTAAAATTTACAACGATTTGTCAAAAAATTCAGATATTCAGATATTGGTATGAGATAACTGTTAAGGGGCAATACTTATAACGGATCATTCCTCAATTTTATTGAAAACATTCATTCCTGTGACTAAGTAATAATAGGTTTTTTAGCATAATAACTTCTAATGCACGTACGAAGTTAGACGTTTTATGCCTTGAAATCTGGCGTAAACCCAGCGTTACTGGTAATTATGTGTCTAGGTCCAGGCGAATAAGAGCGGGACACTTAAATTCTGGTTTAAACTTTAATCGTAAAGCAGATTGTGTCTTGCTAATTTTAAAATACATTTCTCATATGTTTTTAATGTCTTACATTTCAAATTTAATGTTAAATACGTCTTAACACTAAATCCATTGGATGTTGGAGGTGTACTGATTGATACTTTAGTCTTATTAGTTGTTATTGGCTTTGATCTAGCTGTCAGTAACTGCGAGCACTCTCAGATCTGTACTTCAGTGTCTTTTTTATTGTAGGGGTGTATAAATACCCTGCCACGTCCGGTTTATGATTTTGTTACTTGTTTTTCTGCTTTGTATCGATCTAATGAGTAAAGCCCTCTTCAACTGATTTTTATAGTTTGTTATATGTTGATTTTTATTTACCAGGAGTATTATGCATATTACGCCTGTTTTTCTGTCAAGACCAAGCGTACTCATTTAAATATTATGCCCCATTCTACGCTTGGTTTCTGCCTCGGTTACGCTTGGTTTACGCTTGGTCATACAGTTACCTTTACATTGCAATGATGCCAGGTACACATTTTACGCCTGGTATCCTTGTGATTACAGGCGTTACATTTAATACAGGGCACATCATTACCAATAAAACTACAGACAACAATTTCTTTTAAGGACGCATGGTTAACCTTATATGAAATGCAGTATAATCCTTTTGGTATCGAACTTGTAGATATAAGGCACCGAGCGTTAATTTTTTGTCGGGCATGCTTTTTTCAAATATATTTTTTGATTCGTAGTTTCTTGAAAAAAAAAAAATTTGTTTCAGAAGGGGAGTGATCAAAATAGTTTGATTCTTTTGAAAATTAGGGTAAAAATTCAAACAAATCATAATCGACGGTGATTTTCTAAAGAGAATTCTAGTGTATGAAGGTTATTGAAAAAATAGTTTGTGAAAAGTCGAAATAATCTTTTGTCAAGAGAGAAGAAAAACATCCAACCCCCATAAAAGATGAATGATCGGTACCTAAATAAAAGGCATATGAATTATTGAGACAGCAACACTACAACGCAATACACCAAGAAAAACCCATGCAATATTTTACAATAGGAATGTGCCAGTACATGTACTATATCTCAACTGTTGAATCTTTCGGAATTTATCTATAAAGCTTCCATTTGTGTAATATGCACACCAAGATGTGACGGGATTGAATTAGGCTTTAGATACTCTAGCATTTTACACAAATAGATGTACAAAAATTCATTTGAAAAACGCACGTTGTTGAAGGTTATACGGTGGCCTATAATTGCTTACATGTACTACCACTTCAATTTAACCCTGTTGGAAAGTTGTCTCATTGGCAATCATACCACATCTTCTCATTTTTTTAGGCATCTATATGATATCGGTTTTTGCATAATATATACTACAAACACACAAATACAAGTAAAATGATAATAACGTAGCAACAGCTCGTAACAACTGAAACCAAATCAAAGTAGAGATTCCTTACATAGAAATAAGCCTGAGTTGGTTTTCCCCGTTTGAATGGTTTTACACTAGTAATTTTTGGGGCCCTTTATAGCTTACTGTTCGGTGTGAGCCAAGGCTCCGTGTTGAAGACCGTACTGTGACCTATAATGGTTTACTTTTATAAATTTTGACTTGGATGGAGAGTTGTCTCATTGGCACTCATACCACATCTTCTTATATCTACTGATTACATTCTTATGTACCGATATATACTTACACCATATACTAAACAATTTGTTTGACTTGCAACTTGACAGCTAATTATTTTCAAAATATAAAAAATACATTACGTTGTCATTATGATTTATAATGTTTAGAAAGTGATAGAAATAAGTCAAGGCATATAATTCATTTAATATTTGCTGATAGAAGTATATTAAACAACATGCAACACGTACAAAATTAGACAAAACAACACAGCATTTTCATCAGTATATATTCGGTGATTTCATGTTTGTTTTTGAAAAAAAGAGTAAAATGATTTGTATTATGCCATAAGCGCATGATTTTTGTAATACATTTAATCGTGCTTTTTTTTTTAAAGATACTAAGAGTAATTTAGCACTCTTACATGTTATATCAAGAAGTTTCATATACATATTCTGCAATGAAAATCAATGGTGTACTAAACTTTACAAAATCATGTTAAAACATATTATCTGTATGTCCATAAAAAGAAAAAAACATTTATGAATTTGGTGTGCCTGAAGCATTTTTATTGATATACCTTCATAATGAACGATCAAACCAAGGTAGAAAACATGAACTCTTTTAAAACCAAAGGAAAACGGTCAAATTTGTGACGAATTCATGACCAGATACAAATAAAGTAAGTCATATATCACATTAAATCATTATTCTGTTCATTGATACCAAAGGACCATCAACATCATTCGTATTGTTCCAATCATACATACAACAGTGACAAGCGAAATGGTTGATATTTCTGAAAAAAGAATACAAAAATTATATTGAATTTTAGAATAAAATAAAAACGTGATAACAATGAAATAAAATATAGTTATCTACCTCGATCAGACAAATTTCAAAAAATAACATTTTCACCAGATATATATGGTGTTCAATTAGTTTTCAGTAATATGTACTAAGTAAACCGTATCAAAACTGTGGTAAACTTACTGACTAACTAGTATTCATGTAACAAGTATTTGTGCATTTTCACCGTTCTGACCATTTAAAAAAATTTTGATACACCAAATATTAATTGAATTGTCGTATGTAATTTCTCGCCATATCTATTCGGTACATTGAACCTGGCGTGTTTCTTTTAAAATCATTAAAAAAACAGATCGTACCACTTAATCCGTTGATTAAAATCTTTAACCACTCTCGATAGATAAAGGTTTATATGCTCGATACAATATTTTAGAACATACTCACCCCTTCTCGTCCAATAGAAAATCAGTTTTTTTCCTTCTAATTTTCATAGTACATGGCTTTCCATGTACTATAAGATGCTATACATGAATGATTTTTCATTGTAGATTAATTATGAAAGTGAACTCTTAATAACTACACTAATGAAGTGTACAATCCCCTGAGGCATTTTGCAAAGGAAAACAGCCTACTGATTAAAAATGAAAGAGAAAAGAATTATAAAAAAAAAAAACATTTTGAAAATTGCAAATGTTTATAATGGAACATATATGAAAAAAAAAGAAAAAAAATGAAATGGGAGAAAAGGTGTAGATAAACTTATCTTTAAATTAATGTTAATATCAGACCCAAAGAAAACAATGTCAGACTGCTGATATATAAAGCAACTTTTTCGAAGAAAAAAAAATACATGTACATTCATCAATAAAAAATAAGTATCTGATGTTGAATGATCGTAATTCTAATATTTATTGAGTGAGTTTTATAATTGCCAAAAATATACAAATTTCAAAAAGCTGATTTATATAACATTGCTTGCTTTTTATAATCAAGAAATCTAAGGTATATAAGTATTAAATTTTACCTGAAGCGGAAGAAAAACTCAATGATTGAACAATTTATCCTTTTTGTCCTCACAAAACTTTGTCAGTGCTATTTCATTCCATCCATTGAAATGACCATAACATGTGATATACATTACTTTTATAAACCAAGTTAACACTTCATTATAAAAAGTGAATTCTGATTAAGGTTTGAATATTACAATGGAAAGGATAATTTTGTAAGGTAACTCGAAGGTGTGAATATGTTCTAAATTGGTCAGACAATACTTGGTCCTGTTTTATGAACATTTAAAACCCTCGGCTATGCCTTGGGCTTTAAATCTTCATAAAACATGACCAAGTATTGTCTAACCTTTACGTAATCAACGGGTGTGGGTTAAAATCTATATTTTGCTATTAAATGAAAATTTAGGCTTTCAGTCCAATTTAAAATATCCACTTTTGATACAATAAATCCGTATTGTCCTGCCAGTATAGAGTTACAGTGTTTTAATCCACTTGGCTTGTGAAACAATGTCATGATAGCACAAAACTGAAAATAAGAGAACTCTAGTATTTAACAGTTTTTGCAGACAGTGGTTTAGGAAATTTTTTTAAGCATTGTTGATATTTTCGCATTAGTAGGCATATTAATGAAGCACTATTTACAGAAAGATTTCATCGTTTAATTAGAGATCCCAAGGCTTGATAGGGGTATAGAAAAATCGACATCCCTTGACCCCTTTCATACGGCAAAAGCGTTCGATACCGTTCCCTACCAAATACTTCTAAAGAAAATGTCACACTTTGGGATAAAATACAATACCTTACAATGAATTTCGGCATGGTTCAGTAAGCGACACCAGAGAGTATGTCTACATGGAGAAGCCAGTGAGAACAAACCAGTACGATCAGGAGTTCCACAAGGTACAGTATTGGGATCACTTTGTTTCCTTATATACATCAACGATATGGGAGAAACAATATCATCACAATCAAGCCTACGCCTATTTGCTGACGACTCGCTACTATATAGATCCATTAAGAGTAGTGAAGACAGCAAACAACTACAACTAGATCTGAGAGATTTGACTAAATGGGCGGAGAGTTGGCAAATGACATTCCACCCAGCTAAATGCTACACACTGAGGGTAATAAGAAAGAAAACTCAACAATAAAAGAGTATGAAATGATGGGACAACAACTATCCACAGTTCACTAATATCCATACCTCGGAGTCGAATTATCAGAAGATCTCAGTTGGGATCCACACATCAAGAAAATTATCACAAAATCCAACCGAGTACTAGGATTCCTTAGACGCAACATCTGGAGTGTCCACAAGACATCAAAGCGCACGCCTATACATCGGTAGTGCGCCCACACCTTGAGTACGCCTCTGCAGTATGGGATCCATATCGAAAACATCACATTGACTCCCTAGAAATGGTCCAAAGAAGAATTGCCAGATTTGCGACATCAACATACAGTGGAGAACCAGGGACAGTTACAAACATCATGAAAACCCTAGAATGGCAGACACTAGAATCTAGCTGGAAATCCAGTAGATTGAGCATGTTCTACAAAGCCACACATGGACAGGTGGCAGTCAACATACCATCAGTCGTGAGAAGACCATCTACCTCAACAAGACAATACCATCCAGAAAAATTAACTCAGATCAGAACCTCCACAGATGCCTACAAATACAGCTATATACCACGCACCATCACCGACTGGAACAGCCTGCTTCTCGAAGCGTTCCAAGCTACATCCATGAAATGCTTCAAGGAGCAACTTCGGAGACAGCAGCTGTAAACAGAAACCACCTGTTTTTATCCAATTTTAATTGCATTTGTAAATACTGAGCACGCAGGTTGACGTTTGCACAGCAGTATCTGCGTTATGGATTTCCACTGCAGATCAATAGTATAGATGTAGACGGCAGTACAACTCATGCAACAGTAAAATAACAAAAATACCGAACTCCGGGGAAAATTCAAAACGGAAAGTCTCTAATCAAATGGCAAAATCAAAAGCTCAAACACATCAAACGAATGGGCAACAACTGTCATATTCCTGACTTGGTACAGGCATTTTCTTATGTAGAAAATGTTGGATTAAACCTGGTTTTATAGCTAGCTAAACCTCTCACTTGTATGACAGTTGCATACAATTCCATTATATTGACAATGATGTGTGAACAAAACAAACAGACATAATAGGTAAAAATGTCAAACATAGGGGAACAGCAGTCATCTTAATCACTATGAAAACACACAAATATGTCAACAAAGAAACACAAAAAGGCATACAGACAAAGCACATTAGCAAAAATGAAAAACAAGAATACAAAAATTTACCATAGCACAATAACACAATGACGGGATGTATAAGTACCGAGCCACGTCAAATGGATATTACCAAAAATAGACTAAACAGTAAAAGTAATATTCACAGACAAATAAAAGAATGCTATAACACGTTATTAAGATGATAAACAACGTACCTTGAATATATACTCCAAGACCATCGTGTATTATTTGTGAAGTTGATACGGATTATTTATCAACAAGGTCTTGGTATCTTCCGATGAACTTTTTTAGAAAAAGGACGAAACGTTCTTTGACATACCCCTGGTTCATCAACTTTCTGCTCAGACACTGGTGACGTTTTACAAAGTCTGAGTAGCAGCTGCAAGCTCTTGAATACCGAATAAGTTGGGAAATTTACATCCCATATGCAGGTGAAGTTGGTATATTGCTACTAAGGTTGGGGGGGAATTGATAATTTCAAAATTAAAATTGTCTAGTTTGTCATAGATTCTGGTACTGAAATGACCGTGTATGTCAAATTCGAGGTATAAGTCTAAAAATGAGGCAGAGGAAGCGATGTCTGTTGTTTCTTTAATTTCTAGTTCAGAGGTGTCCGTTTAGCTTTGCAGGATGTATAAGTAATTAACCACATCAAGTCGGAATGAGGACATTATATCCGATGTCTTGTGTAGAGAAATTGACGTATCCTTTGCATAGATATCAATGCATTTCTAATCTAGAAATGCGCTTCGGACACATGAAATGTGTAAAGAGTTGTTTTATATATTTTTAAAATGTGGATAGGTTTATGTTAGGCGTGTCACAGATTAAGCTGAATTCGTTATGATATACTCTTTTAAGCTTGCCAAATTACTACTTTACCTTAGAATAAATTATTAAGTTTTTTAAAGTATAATTTCGTCTCTTCAATTGTTATTTTATACATTAAACGTTTGAAAATAAATTTAGAAGGTGTATTAATAAACGTAATAAACCGCAAATATTGTAAGCGATATATATATAACCTGTCACCAACACAAACATTTCATTTCCAGTCATTTTAGATGAAGTTAAGATCAGAGTGACTATTTACAACTAACATTCTTTTATTGAGAATAGTGAATTGTACCTTAAGTTATACTTTGAAAAGTAATACTTATTGTCAAAGTACTAACACCGTACTATAGTTTCGAGTATAATCCAATATCCTGAAATAACAATGAAATCAAATTTATTTTATTTTACGTATCATTTCCAGAATCCTTAGTAGTATTATCTTATACATTACTTACTATCAGCACCGCTAGGACAGGTCGCCAAAATATGTGGATTACAACTTGCATATGACGTCGTCTCATCGCTGCCATCCTCACAATCCTCCTCACAGTCACACTTAAATGCTTCATCTATACAAGAAACGGACCCATGCTGGCATGAAAACCAACCTGTTGGGCATGTCTTAAAAGAAATGCAAATCTGTAGTGAGTAAATATTGAGGATATATAAGTAAACCTTACGAACAAAAAATATTCTCTTGACAATTTAAGTGTCTGTATTAAAATATTTGAGATGAAAAATATATTGATACAGAAATATGCTAGATGTTAAACATCCATACTGTGGCGAATTGGCGATGTTCAGCATTTACTTCTGTTTCGTTTAATTTGTTTCAAATTGCTAAAAAAAATCCATGAGAAAAAACAAATATAATTTTTCACAAATATTGCTTCTAAATTATTAAATCTTACTTGTACATATGCTCCATATGCTGCTGTGGGACAAGCTTGTGTGTTGCAGTATCCGTATTCGCTTGATGAACCACTACAATGAAGTCCGCCATTAGCTGGTCTTGGATCATCACATACTCTCATTCTTGACTGACGACCGCCACCACAAGTAACTGAACACACACCCCATGACTGCCATTGTCCCCATGCACCATCAACTGTTAGTGTAAAAACAACTTGTGTATTCAATTCTTTAATGAAGACAGGTAAATATATATATTTATTAGTCTAAGTAGGGTATTTAGATCTAAGACATAATAAAATTACCGGTATCAATTTTACAGCACCAAATCCGACCCAGACAAGGAGTCAACGTTGTGCATTAGGGTGATACATTCCTTAAGTGAAAAGGATGACCAAAAATAGCAAATTTCAATAAAACATGTTCCCTATTCCATGTCAGTTCTGATGTCATGACTGCTGGTCTGGTTATACTCTCGTGAACTAATAGGTCACCAGCTAAGGTATCGGTCCATTGGAAGTATTAACATAAACCTTGCCAGTTTCACATGCACAAGATGCACATTTGGTAATGTATGAGGTTGCAACGTTTGAATCAAAACTTTTTGGGCGATTTTGAAAGCACCAACTGCAACCAACTGCATGTACATTTTAGCAACAACGCGTGGGAAGCTTAAATTTGGGTCTCCAAAGAGTTGGTGCGGCCCCAAGTGAAAAAAAAAATGTTCCGAGTTGTTTTTGCATGTGAACTCTGTAGAGTGTCACATCAAACTTTGCTTTATACGTAAAACAAAAATGTTCATTTAAATTTCTTTAAGTCCAAAATATTTATGAGTTAGACACATTTATTCAAAAAGTCAGCGACGGACATTTCGAAAAATCTTAATGTTATCATGCACTGTGATAAGAGGACACCTTTGTTTCTCTTGGTTTGACAATTTTATTCACACCAAAAAGTTTTCCACAGGTCACAACACTTAACATTTATCGCTCCTTGAAAAGAAGGTATGGAATTTCGGGTATTTATAAAAATCTATATTGCTATTATCGTATCATAACTTCAATACATATGTACTGCATTGGCAGTTTAAGAGTAAAACAAAAGATGTATATTTGTTTATAAATCTTTATTTTCCCGATTTTGATACCGAAGACCTAAACTGTGTTTCAAGTAGTTTAAAAAAATTAATCTGCTACATGTCGATATAAATCATGGAATCAAATTTCAAGAATAACTTGCTGGTTTGTAATATTTCATGATCGTTGTACACCGATTCGATTCGATATCAATTTTTCCATACAAACACCGAGTTTTGTCAGATACTTTCAGTTAATTTGTCAGTAACCCATTCCCCTTTTGTTTTCAATTTCTTATCATTTCTTACTTAACAGAAAGTGCATAGTTGCGACATGAGAAGTTATTTGGCATTCATTATTTTTTGAAAAAGTGTCTTGAAGTTACAGAGGAAATTACTTTCATTAAAAGGAGAAAAATTCAGTCAACTAGAAAACTTTAACTTTGTGTTTTTTGTACTTTGTACAGAAGTTGGTCAATATACTATACCCGTCAAAAGTTCATATTTGTATTTGTAATTTTACATGTTATTGGCGATGTTTAATAAATAATCTGACTTGATATATTTTAAATGCCATTAAGCTTAATCATACTTCAAAGATTTGGATGTTTAAGAAATCAACATAAAGCGGTGAATAAATACCCTTTGTAGGTCCCTCAAAATAACTCGTGCCTGTTGTAAAAAATTATCCTATAAGTGACATTAACGTCATTAACCGAGATAAATAATCTATGGAATTTACAATACCTGAGCAGTTTCGCTTTCGATTGTAACCAGCACTATCGAAACCGAATACAGACAAAAATATAATGTAACGCAGGATATTTTCTTGGTTTGGTAATACTGCAAATATGGTTGTTTTTTTTATTATTTGTTTTCTCCATTTCATCAGTCTGAGCACATCAAAAAGATAGTAGTCTTTGCGAAGTTTTAACAGAAAATTTTAAATTCATGAATTTACACTAAAGCGTTATATTACAATTAGTGATATATCCATTAGAACATAACAACATAACTAGTTCTTACTTACTTATGCAAACTTGAGTATTACATGACTGTGTTTCCAGACCATTACCAGCGCAAGCTGCTCCGTTATATTGTGGCGCAGGATTTGTACAGGATCGAGTGCGATCTTGTGCGCCACCACCACAAGTAACAGTGCAAGTTCCCCAAGACGTCCAAGTTGTCCATTCACCATCAACTATTTTTCAAAAGGAAACAAAATGCAACGTTTTTTAAACAAAGAAATATATCAGAATTTACAATAAACGGAAAATTGTTAGAAAAATGTATTTCCAAAATAGTAAATTCACTTTTCTCTGTAAAACCGGTTTGACAGGCAACACAAGCAGAGGTTCAGTTAAATCAACACTATATCAGAGTATATTATTATAAAAGAAGGCTTAGAGTTATAAGTTAAAAGTACTTTTTGATATTGAAGGAAAATATCGTCAAAAATATAATGATAAGACCCTGGTTACTCTAAGGACAAAAATGCTATTGTTTCCGTAGATATCAAATTTCTATCACCGAAAAATCAAACTCTGTATGAATGAATGATTAATCTTTTCTACATTCTTATGCATTATTGAATACATGTTTGTTCTGAAGTCACATTAGTCATTAGTCATTATGTTTTATTCTAAATCTTGTTTTCATAATCACATAAAAAACATAAAACATGGACCTAAAATGTTTTTCCAAAATAAATTTTTCTAAATTTAAGATAAAATGTAATACATTTGTTTTGAACAGTGTAAATAAAGTTAAATCTGGTATACTATTTTAGTGTATCATTGGAATCTAAGATATTATTCCATAAACACAACTATTGACAGAGTCCAGAAATTTACCCTTGAAAAGGAGTTAACGGAAGATTTATAATTACAATCTTATGATATGATTTCTCTGTGTGTAACATTTTACTGATTTTTGTATAAACATATTTTTTTAAGAGACAGAAGATACAAAAGGGAGATTCAAAACTCATAAGTTAATGAGAGACCGAAAAAAGCATGGCAAAAAACGTAGGACAAACAACAGGCTACAAAACACTGCATAGAAATACTAATCAGCAACTCGAACCCTACCAAGACCCGGGGGTGGCATCAGGTGCTCAGAAAGGAAAAGCATATTCTGCTTAACATGTTGCACCCGTCGTTTTGCTCATTCAGTACAAGTACGTGTTCAGAGTCACCGGTGAAGTCTTAATCGAGAAAGAGGATAAAGAATTGGTACGACAAATGGAACATATCCGTTGTCATATGTGATAAAGATATTCAATAATGGTCAACCAACTCTTAGGGCGCCGGAAATTTCCAAAGAGATGATTTCAACTTTACTACTACAAATTTTTGGTTCAATAACTTCCTTGTAAGCAGCAACTGTCTATCAAGGAAATATGAATGCTAACTCTTGAGTATCGACTTAGATAAGAGATATCTAACCCGCATGAAGGCTCTACTGGAATTCGCTACATAGAAATGGAAAATTCACAATTTGACAGCTAAAATCATCCTTATTTGAAGGGACCATTTCAATTTATGATAGATATTGTTCTATTTTTCTGGCTACCTTCAAGTCACTTCCAACCAAAGTGTAAGACATGCTATTTGCATTTTATAAAGATATGATAGATGCAAAAGGTCTTTAAAATGTTATTTCTGTACGTACACATTTAAGATTTTTCTTGTTTGATACATTATTAATATAATGTTGGTTGGCGTTTAAATAATGCTTTTAAAAAGTAAAAAAAATGAAAACTTATTGAATAACTTTTACTCACTTGGACATGGCGTTAAAGTACAGGTTTGTGTTGCTGCGCTTGACCCAACACAATCGGCTCCATTATGGGCTGGTGAAGGATCAGTACAAGTTCTTGATCGGTCATGTGTGCCACTTGCACATGTTACAGAGAATGTTCCCCATGCACTCCAAACAGCCCACAAGCCATCAACTTAAATTTTATAAAAAAAAACATTCAATACATTTCTAATAGACGGTCTGTATAACGAATTTCAAATCTTTTAAAATCGAAGTACTAGTATCATATTTGATCTTTATTTCTAAAATCTTACTTTATTAAACTACAGTCTCTTAAATCAAAGTTTTGCGTATATAAATACTTTAAATGTTAAATAAAGTAATATTAATCTACTGTAGGTGTAATTCCACCATTTTTTTCCCATATTAGTCTTTGTTAAATTTGCACTTTTCAAACAAAGTGCAAAATTTATCTTTGTTTCAAATATTTCCAAAAAAAATTGCAGAATTTATCTTTGTTTCAAATAAAGAATATTTAGCATGAGTAAAGTTTTATCCTGTCCAGTACTATAGACAAAATTTCAAATAACATTTCATTGCATATAAGATATTAACCATCACTAGAAGGTAACCAACCAAATTTTCATCCTTTTTTTCCTGTGTACAAGCATTAGTAACCATGTAACCTCAAGTTTCAAAATATTCTATAGAAACACCAAATAAAAAAAGGATGATGCTTTGAAACACCCAAGATATATGTTTATGACTCAGAAATTGTTTACTGCAATGAAATTTAGGATTAATTTTTTACAACTGTCAAGTTCAAGGGAATATTTTTTTCTACCCTTTTTCGTATGCAACCGGATGTGACGTACTAGGATTTGGTGGTATTACACCTGTGTTACTGTAATAACTGTTTGCAAATTAATCAAGTAAAAACCCAGAGCATAACTTTTCAGTCTGTTTTATAGCTTGGAAGGATAAAACTTGCATATATATATAAATAATAATATTAAAAATGATACTGATATATCAAAAAATAAATCATACAATTCCATAATGCACATATCACTTATATGTTGACATGAATTATTATTATGGTCATAATTATAAATTGACTGTTTCAAACATTTTCGAAATACTAAGGATTTTCTACCACAGGAATAGATTACCTAACTGTATTTGGCAAAACCTTTCGGAATTTTGGGTTCAATTTTGAACTTTATATGGCCTTTCTATATTTTTGGATTCGAGCGTCAGTGATGAGTCTTTTGTAGACGAAACGAGGTCTGGTGTACAAAATTTTAATCCTGGTATCTATGATGAGTTTATTGTCATATTATACATACCATTTTCGGTTAAAAAATGTAATAGTATATAGTATGATTATGTCATTTTAGACAACCGATTCACACGTACTTGGACAAGGGACTTTAGTACATGTCTGAGTATCTGTTCCCGAACCACTGCAGTCCTGTCCAGAGTGTTGTGGTGTTGGACTATCACACTGGCGTTGTCTGTTTTGGGTTCCGCTTGCGCAGGTTACTGAACAGCTACCCCAGGAAGCCCAATTTCCCCATACACCATCAACTAAATAAAGAATGTTTTTGTGTGAATTAAGCTTTTGGTAATGTATGTTATTGCATATTTGCAATTGTCAATTTGCTTTATATATGTTGTACATTCTCAAGAGGAATTTTGCCTCCAAATCACCTATTCACTCATGTGAATCAATAGCAGTTTAAAGACTCACATTTGAAGACCTTGGTGGACGTTTTACTCCATCAAGTAAGATTTCAAGTTTTGACCAAATAACTATCTGATAAGATTCGAAAACGAAGAAGAGTGAATTATTGTCCTGTTATTAGTTTACTGCTATAAAATGGTTTTGTGTATCTTAAGCATACAAAAAACTGATCAGGGCAGATCTTAGACATCAATTACCGGGAAAGTTGAAAGAAAGTTTCTATTGTATTTATACTTGTTCTTAATTTAAAAAGAATTGTTGAATTCAATTTGTCTTCTCAAGATAAAAGAGAGATAATAAAAAACAAAAACTATCGGTCAATGGAAAACAGTAAATAATCTGGACAAAAAGGAAAAACAAGAAAGAAAAAATACATTCGACAAAAAGCTACGTAGAACACTTTTAAGATTTAGCCACATGAACCCCACCAAACCGAGTTGGTATGTTAACTCATGAGTTTCGAAATCTTCTTTGGCACCCGTCAGTATGACGGGTACCACATGTCGAGCAGGATCTGCTTACCCTTCCAGTGCACCCCCGGTTTTGGGTTAGGTTCGAGTTGATCAGTGTAGTTTGCTATGTTGTGTTTTGTACACTCTTATTTGCCTTTTAATCTTTTTAGTTTTTTGCCATGGCGTTGTCAGTTTATTTACGACTTATGAGTATGAATATCCTTTTGGAATCTTTCGCCTGTCTCTCTTTTGCTGAATCCACAGTCAATGCATTCTGTACACCCGCTGAATGATTGATATAGCATGTGTATGCTTTGTACACCACATTCCTTAATAGTCCTACCATAGATGTAGCTCATTCAATGTATTGTGAAAATATTAAACAATATCAGTATGAAAAATGAAGCATTCATATGCTAAGCATTTAATAGATATTAGTATGTTTCCGCGGTTCGAATAGTAAAGCGGGGAAATATTGTATTGTCGTTATGTTAATCATGAATATTCATAAGGCATAACAAAATTGACCAATCAGGAAGTCGTATTTTGTATTACGATATACTCGAGTTTTCAAGCGCTTCACTTTTAAGCCGTCATTTAACATAGTAAGCTCCTTTTTATAATTGATAATTGCAATTAAACTTTTGATTTTCTATTCAAATACGTGTTTTCTAATTAGTGGTGAGGTTCGACACTTTTATCCGGATTTAAGCTCGAGCATTGGCATCGGATACAGGTTTCCATTCATATCAAAATGCAGAGATATACGCGAATACACTATCGACAAACTGATACATAATACATTGTATATGTTTGATATATGTAAAATTTGTACTGCTGGATATTATTTGAGATACCATTTGAAACGGCGTCTATCACGTTCGACAAGCTGTCGCAAATTTACATTTGTGTTCAGTATATATTTCGTCATATAGTATAGGTAATACATATATATATATATCTTATAAAAAATATGAACTACACTCACTTGGGCAAGGGACTCCAGTACATGTCTGTGTATCTGTACCCGAACCACTGCAGTCCTGTCCATTGTGTTGTGCTGCTGGGTTGTCACACTGGCGTTGCCTGTTTTGGGCTCCGCTTGCGCAAGTTACTGAACAGCTATCCCAAGAAGCCCAACTCCCCCAATTACCATCAACTATAAAATGGTTATTGAAAAAATATACAATTTTTGTTATTTTTGGATATGTTTAAGTATTACAGTAGCAAACAGATTTTTTTACTTCAGAATATTCATAAGCTGTTGCTAAGTTTCCACTATAGAGTAAGAAAATACCGAGATCATGGCTTAAAAGTGGCGGACAATTTCACAATTTAAAATTTTGTTTTAGTGAAGACACTAATTAATCGACAGCTTCTGATTGTTACTGCTATTTTAGTTTTTAAAACTTGTAAGACAGCGATTTTACCATGGTATCCTTCATCGATGAAAATATCAAAATCGATTAAGTTCAACTGAATCAAAGTCATTTTAATACGTGGATTTATTTGAACCGGTTAGACTGTAATGCGGTATAGTTGAAATATTGCCAGCAACCGTAATAAAAATTGCAGTGTGTTGTATAAAATATTATTATTTTCGCTTCTCAAAGCGCATCATTATTTACAGAGTTTGTTTAAGAAGTCCTATATAAGAACATTATGGTAAAACGCATTTCTTGACATGTTTGTGTTTCTACAAGAAAAAATACCCATGCAAACAAAAGTAAACATACTTGGGCAAGCTATTTGTGTACAAATCTGTGTATCTGTATTCGAGCCACCACAGATCTGTCCGTTATGTTGTGGTGCTGGCTGGTCACATTGGCGTTGTCTAGATTGAGTTCCACTTGCACAGGTTACTGTACAAGAGCCCCATGAAGCCCAATTTCCCCAATTACCATTGACTGAAAAGTATGATTAAAAGGGAATTTACAAATTTGAACAAAAATTTCATTAGTTTTAAAAAAAGAGAGCGAAGATATCAAAGGGCTATAAAAAATTCGTATGTCCAATTAAGACAGAAAATATTATGACTAAAAAGAAAAAATACGAAAAGACTGACGACAATATCAAAACATGACACCATAAAGTAAAGATTGAATAACAAAAATAAAAGTGTTGGCACCGAGCAAACCGTACGAAGATTATTTCGAGTAAGCTTTAATGACTTTAAAATTAACGGACAAAAATATTATTTCAATTCTGCCTCAATGAAGCAAGAACGACTGATTTATGTTTACTGTTTTATGACCATTTCTGTTGTAAGTTATGTCGTAAAACTTTGCAGACATCCTCATCAAATGCTTTTAAGGCAAATTGCTACATCTATGTGAGTTAAACATTTTACAAAACATAATTTTGCTTTGTGATTTTCTTTTTTGTAATACATGAAAATGCTTTCATAGACATGTGAAACAGTTATGTATTTATAGAAAAATACAAAGAGTCATTATGCACAGTTGCTTTTATACATAAGTAAGAAGTAATAATAAGGAACTTAATTATAATATCTTTGGTGATCCATTTCCTATATTTGACAAAAGAGACTTGCTGCAGAATTATTTCAAATATATCAGATCGTACCTGGACATGCTACTTTTGTACATGTCTTTGTATCTGTACCCGAGCCAACACAGTCTAATCCATTATGTTGTTGTGCAGGACTATCACATTGGCGTTGTCTGTTTTGGGTTCCGCTTGCACAGGTTACAGAACAAGATCCCCAGGAAACCCAGCTTCCCCACTGACCATCAACTACAGTTAAGAATGGAACATTTACAAGGTACAATCGATTTATTTTTGTTTTTGTGGTAATCGTTGATGTATTTTAAACTTTAAAATCTTAAACAAAATTCGATTTATTGGACATAACGTCACCTTAACAAGGAGGGAATTGTGTTTACTGCCTGTGGCTAAGTCTCATAACCCTACCATTAGACAGAAGTGTTAAAATGAAATTATTTCATATAGCTATGATGGTACATGTACCTGGTTCTCTTTAATATTTTCAAATTAATTGATAAACACTGTCGTAGATAAAAACAAATTAAATAACAGCTAAATTAGTATCATCAAGAAAATGTCAGTGCAGTAACTAGTAGTATTTTTATCACATCTGTTCTTTTTCAATATAATCATCTTTACCATGATAATGTATTAAAAGTATAATGAATGAAAAGCGGTCCCCTTCGACGGACATGTTTCGTCTGTCGCAGGGTAATAATTCGAATTATGTGCTTCTTTCAAAAAATTTCGTAAAAAACTTTAAAACAATGCGGCATTTGAGCGCGAATGGTTTGATCAGCTCTTCGACGTTTGTATTAGGTTTTCGATTATCGATTATCAATAAAGATAAAGATGGTACTTTTATTGTTTGAAGTTCTCCAAAATTTCCTAAGATAAGCATTTAATACAAATGTAAAACAAAAATCGTCAAACGAACGGTTATAATGCAGTTTTCCATATAACTTGCATTTCAAAGGATAATAAGTATCTTATAAATACTTGATTGCGACCGATTTTTTATTTCGATTGGGACATTTTAAATTTAAATTTTTGATACAAATTTCATTAAAACTTGAAAAGAAGCCTAGGCTTTAGAGTGCCTGTTGCATTTTGTCTTATAGTTTACATTTCGACAGGCCATCGGTTGTTCGGTACTGTTTTTGTTATCTTCTCCAAGACATTAACGAGATAAACATCACAAATAAATGGCATAGAAAAATGAAATCATGGCTTGATAGCCCTAAGGGTGCACTTTCAAATATGATTGATATTTCCATGGATCATTGATCCTGTAAAAATAGTTGATTGAAACGGATTTTTGAACACACACCCAAGACATTTCTAGAGTTAACCTATATTATGATTTCAGAAAATACTTAAACGAAATGAAACTCGAAAACGCTTACAATGCTGCAAATTTCTTTATAATTCACTTGATTTAGGGACATAACTCCCTTAACTTTCTAACTTGAAAACGATATTGCTGATATTAATCTTTTGCATTAACGTCATAAAAACTGCAGATAAGAAATGTAGCTGTGAGAGCACTAACATGCTGGTCGGATGATCGGACAGACGGATGTACACTGCATGAACGCAATCCTAGTATTTCTTCGTTCTCGTTCTGAGGTGTGTTATGTAGGGGTACAGATATATTTATTCTGAAATCGCACACAAACACATAAACATGACACCTTCTGAAAATCAAGGCTTAGTTTTTTTGTATCAGAAAGTACCTGGACAAGACACTTTTGTACATGTCTTTGTTTCTGTACCCGAACCACTACAGCTTTGTCCATTATGCTGTGGTGCAGGACTATCACACTGGCGTTGTCTCGTCTCAGTTCCGCTTGCGCATGTTACAGAACAAGTTCCCCATGAAGCCCAGCTTCCCCACTGACCATCAACTGCAGGAAAGAATAAAACATTAAGGATTGGTGTCGGACTTTCGTTGGTTCTTTGTATGCACCTGATTAGTCAGATATTGGCCCGTTTTTCTGATAAATATTCATTCTTTCAATGAAGGCAAAGGTGAATAATTCATATCTCTAAGACGATCAAAATACTAGTGTTATAACATTTCATATGTATACAAATGTTGATGAGACAAACAAATTTCCTAGCATGCGGGGAGTTTTCGGTATGATTAAATTATCAATGCTCCTATCTTAAAATAAGCGCTCGTCAATGCCAGAATATGATTTCAATCATATTTTAAAAAAATTGAGGTAAATACAAAAATAATGTCTATATATTCTGGCAATTCTACAAATTCTATGTAGCCAATTGTCATGGGAACAGTTGGTAATTGTAAAATAAAGATGGAATAAAAAAAATTAAGTCGAAGAAAGGCGTTCAACACTATGATCCAAACTAGGAGTACTGCAAGCAAAGCTCATAAAGTGATGCCCCAGTTGACAGAGAAAAAAACAACGAGAAGTCCATAAACAGAATTAAAGAACTATGGAATTATATGTATTGAATAAATCAGTATAATGGGTTTTTGAGGAGTTACGGATAACAATGGGTGAACCCCAGATGAAACAAAATATAATTCGGATAATCATTGCGGTAAGAAATGTTATATAACATCATGTAAGAAAGATTTTTTGAATACTTCATAAAATGCTGTCGAGTATTCAGTTAGTTGTGGATATAAAAGTGGACGGAATGTACAAACAAATGGACAAACGGAAGGGCAAATAGACAGCTAGACTCGTTATCACTATATAAGAAATGCTTCAGACAGCTGTTGTATGATAAAAATGATAAGTCTATAGAAGTCTGTAGCTCAACAGAAAGATTCAAGGTTGACCAATACGAATTTTGGTAACAGCTTTCTGTAAACCCTTTTGTAATTTAGTATGTTTTCATCTTTTTTAGGTTAGCACCAAGCTATTAATAGAGATAAACAATCGACAGCATATTAAATCTGAAGAAAGTATTGTAATAACATTTATTGGAACCAATGTTATTGCACTAGGTGCGCAAATTGACAATTTATGTCTCAATAGCGATGCTTGGAGTCAAAATATCTAAAAATAAAATCAAACCCCGATCAAATGTTGAACTGCTGATAAAACCGAAAAGAGCACAGCCAAATGCAGACAATGAACAATTAGTCGTTGGAATTCCTAAAGTATCTTATTGGTTTGAGTACTGGAGAACATAGAGAGTCAGATAAATTATCCTACACTTTATTACACAGACTTTCACCGATATGTGGTTAACTTAAAGAATAAACATTACCATTGTATGCCAGATCTTAACATATGTAGCTTTCAAATGTATCTAAAGTTGAGCCAAAAACTTACAATGTTATAATAGGTTTTTGAATTGGGCTTAATCGTGACTCTCGGTCACAATTTAGCTTAACAGGGTTTGAGTAGAGTTCGTTTCGATTCATCTATGACCGCTATTACCATTACCTACAGAAACGCATGCTCTGTACATATTGAAGACATTATTTCAATGTCAAAAGCAAAAGTTATATGATCAGTGCTTTAGATTATTATGTGCAAGGGTTGTTTCTATGACAAACGACTACCAACTTCAACAAGTCGGAATGCATTTGATATTCATAGACATACTTACCAGCACATGAAATAAGCATACACGTTTTACTTTGTGAGCCAGAGCCACTGCAGTCCAACCCGTTGTTAGCTGGTGCTGGATTGGAGCATGCTCTATTTCTACTTTGGCTTCCACTACCGCAACTCAAAGAGCAGGAGGTCCATCCTGTCCAATCTGCCCAGTTACCATTTACTGCAATCCACGATAAAAAAAAATATATGCTTTATGTGCCTGTTCCAAGTCAGGAGCCTGTTTTTCAGTGGTTGTCATGTCTGTCATATTTGTTTTTCGTAAATTGTTTTGTTGTAATTTAGACCGTTAGTTTTCTCAATTGAATTGTTTTCCATATTTTTCATGTCGGTGCCTCTTATAGCTGACTATACGGTATAGGTTTTTCTCATTGTTGAAAGCTGTACGGTTGCCTATAATTACTTAAGTCAACTTCATTTGAACTTTGGTCGATACATTTTGTAGTTGTGTCATTGGCAACCATACCACATCTCCTTATTTTTATATGACAGTAATATCAGTGCTCAAAAACGAGGTTTAACTCTCGTTCTATTGGTTTTTTTAAACATTCCTTTGTGATTACCTACTTAAATTTCAATTGGTTAAAGTTTTAATAAAGAATACATGATTTTAAAAAGTAAAATAACAAAAATACCGAACTCGGAGGAAAATTTTAAACGGAAAGTCTCTAATCAAATCGCAAAATCAAAAGGTCAAACGGATCAAACGCGTGGATAATAACTGACATATTCCTGATTTGGTACATGGAAGGTTCTTATGTAGAAAATGGTGGATTAAACCTGGTTTTATAGCTAGTTAAACCTCTTACTTGTATGACAGTCGCATAAAATTCCATTTTATTGACCACGATGTGTGAACAAAACAAACAGACATAATAGGTAAAAATGTCAAAAATAGGGGTACAGCAGTCAACATTGTGTTACAATCTTAATCACTATAAAACAAACATGTATGTCAACAAAGAAATACAAAAAGGCATATAGACAAAGCACATGGCAAAAAAGAAAGACAAGAATACAAAAATTTACCATAGCACAATAACACAATGACGAGATGTCTGTTAAGGGATTCCTTTGCCAACTAGGTAGATTGCTTAAACAAATTTACAACTTACTCTTACATTTTGTTTTATTATTTTTTTTCTATTTTCTGTTCAGTACTATCCAGTCGAGGCAAATATGTTTAAGGCAAATGTGTATTATTTTACCTTCCCTATTTTTGGAACGAACGCCTCCCTCAAGGCCTCAACAGACATGTTTATTTGTTCTGTCCTGCATTAAAAGCATTTATTATTACAATTTACTATTAATTGAATTTGGAAAATGCTTTAAAACTGGTTATAAAAGAAAAGAAAAAAATCAAGCATTTTATGGAATAAATATAGCAAAATGTAAACAAAGCCTTACCTGGACATGCTACCATTGTACAACTGTTTGAGTTAATCCCTGAACCACTACATTGGTTTCCATTGTGTGCAGGAGCAGGATTATTACAAGATCTTGTCTTTGTTTTATCTCCTGTTCCACAAGTTACTGAACATGATCCATAAGAACCCCATGATCCCCAGTTTCCATTAACTGGAACAAATTGACTTGCATTAAGACTTTCATTTAACTTATTCCTATACTTACTGAGATGTACTATTATAGTTTACTCAATGTTTTTTGATAATGAGCATTTGGTTTCGAAAACATTATCTATACATTATAATTTTGAGTGCAATCAGTTTTACCAAATTTTTTGTGGATTGACAAACAACTTAAATGTCTACCACCAGGCTTAAGTGTAGTATGACAGGCACACGTTCGTTATCTCTTCTTAAGAACAATACATATTAGTTCGATGCTTCGAATGAATTTTTATGTCGCTGGGATGTTCTTTTCTAGTAAAATTAAAACACTTAGTGTTATTTTATTCAATTTATGCATTATATTTTATCTATTCGTAATATTAAAGTTTCTTACTATAAAATATTGATGTCTTAAGAAAGAACTTTGGTTTTATGGAACTTACACCACCGATTTCACTTGTGTAAACAATGATTTTTAATGAGTTAGAGGAATACATTTTCCAGCTGAAAAAAAGTCTGAACAATTTTCAAAGATAAGTAAGAATAAGAACAATTATATAAACCAAAGATTATTCAAACTACGAGTGGAGTATTAAAAGACAAGATATAAATTACACAAATAAGATATCCGAATAATTTTTAAGTCTAGGTGTGGTGGTCAACTGTAGGAATATCTCAAAAGTGGGATGCCAACAAACTATATTGTATTCTCATGTGTTTACAATCGGATACTTTTATTAGGATTGTTAAAGTTTATTTTTAACTATCACTTCTGTTTTAGTATAAATACTGCATTTATTTGATAAGACATTGCTTAAGCAATGTGTTACGGATATACACTTTCTGGTACTTGATATAATGATTATTCATTTTCATTTCAAAAACATATCTTTAAGACTTAAATACAGCTGATTAACTTTCGTCTGATTCCATCACCTCAAATCAAAAACATCATTATCAAAATAACAATTAATAGAAGTAACATATCAACTTACTTGGACAATAGATAGTCGGTGAACAGGAGCTGGATTGACTTGTGTCACCAACGCACTGTGTTCCATCATACTTTGGTTCTGGATTCGAACAGGTTCTGGTTCTAGTGTATGTACCACTCGCGCTAGAGCCGGAAGGATTGCATGATACTGAACAACTACCCCACGATGCCCAATCTGCCCAAGCACCGTTAACTGTAAATGGGAAATGAAATGTTTTATGTGTTCGTACTTCCTGACATGCTGTTGTTTTATGTCAAGTGGTATCGACAACTCAACATTGAATAAGATGTACAAGTCATTAAACAAAATGAACAAGATTGCGTAGATTATTGGAATCAGTGATCAAAAACATCTAATAGAATTAACAACCAACATGACTTTTTTGTACTCGTCATAATAATTGTTTTAACAAGAATCAAACCAAACTATTACAATCCACACTGATCTGTGTCCACACTTATGTTTTCACAAGAAGGATGTTGATGACAACTACTACCATCTATATATATACATATATATTTATACTGCAACTATTTGTGTTTATTTCCTAAATATAATAACACAGCTATATATTGTGCAATGTCAATTTCATCATGGAACACTTTTTTCAACAATCAGGGTTTCAATTTCATCATGGAACACTTTTTCCACAATCAGGGTTTCATTAAGGGATGAAAATAAGATTGAAATTTGTGTTACAATTTAAATAGCCATCAATGTATCAATTTAAGTTGCAGTATAAAATCAATATCAGGTCAATGTCATAAACAGTTTCTCAGCCTCATACAAAAAAGTATATATTTTTCTGACATTGACCTAATATTGTATATATATAATTCTGTAGTCATCAACGTTATACGGTATTCAAATTGTGAGACAAATTAACATGTATTTCATCCATTTGTTGATTTAGGACTTACAATTTGTAATTCTAATTGCATGCGTAAATTTCGAGTATCTGTCTCAACCGATACCACTTACTTGGTGGCGGTTTTGCACAATCTTCTTCTGTTACACCATCACCATCGTCATCTGTATATTAAAAAAGAATCCGTATGTTACGCGTTTTGAAAGAACCAAATACTACAACACGAAAAATAAATAAATACGAAACTGGTTAAAATGAACAAGGTAACAAGGTATCATCCTTAACTAGCGCAATATTATTGTGTTATCGTACTAAGGTAATTTTTTGTATTCTTGTCTTTCTTTTTTGCTAATGTGCTTTGTCTATGTGCCTTTTTGTTTTTCTTTGTTGACATATTTATTTGTTTTATATTGATTAAGATTATAACATAATGTTGACTGCTGTACCTCTATTTTTGACATTTTTGCTTCGCATCACGGTGCGGAGCTATTAGTTTCCGTCGGTATACACGCCATCTTTGAAATAATTACTTATCACATATAGATTCTGATTGGTTGCTTTATGATGCGGCTGAGATACAGCAACAGCTATTGGCTTAAATGAGATAAAGAATTACAGACTTTTCTCGTCTCAGGATAAGACATCAAATGCCGGAAAATTAACTATGTGTATTTCAGTTCCGATCAACTGTCATTAATTCGTGTTCGTTTTATTATGCATATATTGCACACTGAAATTCAATATTGAAATATCAATTGTTAATACGTGTTTATTTGGTTTGTTAATCTGCAATATGCACGATTTGTTTTGCTAAACAAATGTTCCTATACAATGTTTACAAAAATGCATTATCTGTATTTTATAACTTCTGCCAATCTAGGCACACCTCCAGAGTCGTGTCTATTTGTAAATGTTTTAATTTTCAACAAGTAAAGTGAACAAAATTTTAAAAGCATGTGTGTAAAACGCACACTCTTAAAGTAGAACAACATCATTTTCACTGAAACTAAATATGTATTGCTGTTTACAATTATATGTTATTGCTTCGCATTGCAAGCTTTTATGTTACTCTCAATCAACATACCTAAACATTCATATATATCTAAATAAATTACAAGGGGCCTCGGTGGCCAAGTGGTCTAAGTAGTTCTACTACTGTAATCACTAGCCAGTCAACACTGAGGTTGTGAGTTCGAACCCCGCTCGTGCGTGTGTACTCGACTCCAATCTTAATTGACTAGGATTGTCATTTTTCCTATCGAAGGTCGATGGTTTTCTCCGGGCACTCCGGCTTCCTCCACCAATAAAAACTGGCCGCCACGAAATAGCCCCAATGTTGCGCTTAAAAGTGGCGTTAAAACACCAACAATCAACAATCAATCTAAATAAATTACATACAGAACTAGCAATCAAAATTGCAAGTCAATGACCAGCTGAAAGATCTAACCACACTCCACAAAAACATATTGACAACTAAACACTGAACAGCCAGTTTAAAATTTCAGAAAAGGTCATCTTGATATATATACAAAAATTGATATTCCAAGTCTAAGACATCTATTTTATATCAATCAATATCTAAAAGTACCACATTTCCTATACTAAATCAACAACCACATGCACACATATTACCTTAAAATTGGGATAGAGCAAAGCAGTCCACGGCTTTTTAGAAAGCTCAAACTTGTTGCCTATTATGTTTGTTTGTTTTGTTCACACATCGTTGTCAATATAAAGGAATTTAAACAAGTGAGCGGTTTAATCCGCCATTTTCTACATAGAAAATGCCTGTACCAAGTCAGGTATATGACAGTAGTTATCCATTCGTTTGATGTGTTTGAGCTTTTGATTTTACCATTTGATTAGGCTTTCCGTTTTGAAATTACCTAGGAGTTCGGTATTTTTGTTATTTTACTGTTTAGACGTTGTAAATCGTAAGTCATGCAATAAATTCAAGCTTAAGTCAGCCTATAATTAGTCATGGTAAACATTTTTCAAAGCCGTATGAAATTAGAAATACAATGAGTTGCTGCCACATGATTAGTCTAAGGTAGTCAGAAGAAATTATCGAAGATCTGGATTTATTTGTAATTATTTATCAAATTAAAATTTCCAGTTTTCATTATTGTCTAGGCTCGAGTTACATAGTCGATTCTTAAGAAATGTCTAATTTTAGAGTATCAAACTAATTTAATATATTATTTATATCTATAATATTGAATAAGTCGTTATTGCTAAAACAGGGTTAAACTGTCATCTTGTTTCTTCTCTATTTACAAAACCATCAATTGCGTATCACTATGACTGGATCGAAACTCCCTTTAAGAATCCCCATGTTTGAGCATATATCATTCATTTAATGTTATTCAAAACCCGTACAAAAATGTAGGAAAATCCCTTCAAGGGACCAAATCCTAAAAAGTATGATTGGGCAGGTTATATCGTGACCAAACCCAGCTGGTCTCTGTAGACAATCACCCCTTAAATTATTCTAAAAATATATCGTTTTATAAAAATAATGAAGCTCCTCCCTTTTGAACCGGAAGTTTTATAAACTGCTGTTGACAATATGAAGTCTATGAAAGGAAAAGAAGAAGAACTGATCAAAAACGATAAGTTTTCAAACTTTGATTATGAGACATTTCTATATACCGTATTTACACTATAGAGTAGTATATTTTTACATTTGTTATCATCATTATGTCAACAGGTTTTTATGAGTTAGTAATTAAATAATAATGGAGTTCAATTTGACTTCCTTTCACTAATAGCACGTAATCAACAAATAAAACATGGAATACAAAAAATCAAATTGCCTTTTTGTAATATTTTCAAACTACCTTTATTTTGATTTTCTGTTGTACACAGTTCTTCATCAATAAGTCCATCACAATCATTGTCAATACCATCACCAACAACTGTAGAAGTCGGCACACATATCTGTAAGTGTATGTGAAGTATAAAAATTACTAACTAAAACCCATACAGACCCTTCATTTTTGTAACAGTGGATTGAATAGACTACCTTTGCTATATTTGGCAAAACTTTTAGGAATTGTTGGTCCTCAATGCTCTTCAACTTCGTACTTTATTTGGCTTTTTTTTTTTTAACTTTTTTTGATTTGAGCGTCACTGATGAGTCTTTTGTAGACGAAACGCGCGTCTGGCGCAATTACAAAATTTCAATCCTGGTATCTATGATGAGTTTATTTGATTATTGTCTCTTCGTTAACCGAAGGACATTACCAACGTTTTAAACAATTGTGAACTTGTTTCTCCTTTCGTCGCGCGTCTTTCGTAATTTGGCATAGCGTTGTCAGATTTTCTCGACTTATGAGTTTTTAATGTCACCTTCTTATCTTCAGCCTCTTTTCCCCCTCTATTATAGCAAAAGCAAACCATAAAACTCATTGTCTAGTTCGAAATTGGTATGCCATATTCCGATGCTGCTTGAAAGTTGTTCACTAGAAATCAAAAGTTCACAAAGGAAAATTGTAATCATCTCTTTTCACTTAAAGTTTAATTTTTCAATTGAACCTCATTGTCAATATCTAGATGTAAGTCGAAATATGAAACAAATTTTAATATATGTTTAGCAATGTGTATTATGCTTTATTGCAAGTTTAATGGAATATATGCAAAAGATTGAATATAATGACATTTTTCAGTTCGTAAATATCCAAAAGTCACATCATGTGAAATTCGGTCTTGATAGCCTAGTTACATTAAAAGAAAGTTTCAGGTTTCAGGGGCCATGCAGTTGGTGCAGTGGTTATTTAAAAACAAAAAACAATATAGGAAGAAGATTTGGTGAATACCTGGTCATAATTTCTCATAAAAACCAAACAGATAAAGTAAATGCAAGCAAGTCTAATTCTGAAGAAGACAATTACATTTGAAGTTAAAGATGTGAAGTTCATGGAACGAGATTTCTATATAATTTGAGTAATCAGAACTTGAAATATATCTAATATACCGAATTAATTTTTGCCATTCTCATTCCTGTAGTGAATCCATACGTTTCATAGTTAGCCTTTCCATAAAGAAATCCTCCAAATATAGAAATTGGTGAGGCATGACGAACAGTATGTGATCCATCCGATATTGAGATGTACCCTCCTACAAGATCGGTATCTGGAATATCGAAGTACGCAGTGTTGGATGGGAAAGAACCTCCGTCGATTTTTAGTCCACTTTTATCTGCCTTGTTCACCACAAAAAGAAAAAAGTTTTCGTAACTTCCTAGACTATATTTAGGTGTTGTGAATGTGTAATCGGCAGCATATTGTTCAATAGGTGGAATTATAAGCATAGAGGGATCAGCTGGTTCCGCTGATGATACTTGACTTTTAACAATCATCACAAGGAATATTGGTTTATCGGCTGTGATATAGCAGTAATTATTGGAGTCGATCGAAATTTGATTTTGGTCACCTAAATTGGATAAGGTGAATGAATTTGTCGATATCCGCCCGTTTTTATTGCATTTATAGGTAACTTGAGTGGAATCTTCACTAGCAATAAATTTAAAGTAATCTCCAGTGGTTCTTGCTGGTGTAGGAACAGTTGCAAACCTCTTTCCCCATGTATTAACTGGAGTTAGATGCTCTACCAAGTGATCTTGACTGCCTCCTGATCCTGTGTTTGTCTTTCTGTTTCCACTGAATGCTGAAACAGGCTTGTCGCTAGTAATATAAGCTCCAGTAAGATCACCTGTGCTTTGGAGCTGAATTGCATCATAACTGTTCATATTGACAGAGATTGTCTTACCTTTCGAGTATTTCTTTCCGTTATAGGTTACGCTTCCACAATTTGAACAGGATGGCAGCTTTATTTGAACATTGGTTGAGTCGCTCACACCTACAACACATAATTGTGTCATACGGTAAGGTGGATAATATGTTACAGCAAAATACTCATCTGAAAGGACATCTACGGGGAGACCAAGGAAAGCATCGTTGGAATACTTTTGTTTGTTAACACCATAAATAACCACCTCATCGTCTGAAGACACACGAATACCTTTTGACTCTTTAACTGTTCCTTCCAAACGCAACCTAAGGTCAATAAAAAGTTGTTTGACAACGCCAGCAGTTACTGTGAATTGTTCGTTGACAGATGGGTTCGTCCATTTAGGTGATGTGACTTCGACGTTTACTGTAGTTGTACGTGATGTCGTTACGAATAGTTCTAAATCGAAATCTGTCAAATAATTGTCCATGAATGCTATGACGAACTCTGTTCCCCTGTTGTCTGGTGCATTTGTTCCTAAAATATCATATATATGCATTTTCAATAACATTCATTAATACTTAGTACCTTTATTCACATTTGCATTTTCCGTTGTATTTTCATTTAAACAAATTTGAATTAAGCTACATTCTGGAATCATTTCTTTAAAATTTATCTCAAACCGTGATATATATATATATATTTCATTTCGTTTGAAATTGGGTTTTTCCCGTTTCTTATTAGTAGGACTTATATATAGATGGGAACTAGTATTGAAACGCTGCCTCCCTGGTGCTAGAGTCGGCCCCACCAGAGAATACAGGGTCACAAAGAAAAAGGGAGTAAAATGATCTATAAAGTGTAAGGTTCGACGACCACTGTTTACCGTCGGACCTAAACACGTTACAGAAGATATCGTATACTTGTGTTTATAGATATAAGAAGATGTGGTATGAGTGCCAATGAGACAACTCTCCATCCAAGTCAAAATTTATAAAAGTAAACCATTATAGGTCAAAGTACGGTCTTCAACATAGAACCTTGGCTCACACCGAACAGCAAGCTATAAAGGGCCCCAAAAGTTACTAGTGTAAAACCATTCAAACGGGGAAACCAACGGTCTAATCTATATAAAGAACGAGAAACGAGAAACGAGAAACACTTATGAACCACATCAACAAACGACAACTACTGAACATCAGATTCCTGACTTAGGACAGGTGCAAACAATTACAGCGGGTTTAAACGTTTTAATGGTACCAAAGAGTGTGTTGTGAAGAATATGAAATAGATATTTCAGATGGTGTTCGTTAAGTCTCATTTGATGTATGGACTAAATTTAACTAGGAACTGTTTAAGTGGATGCATGTAATGTTTGGTCTTCGTTCATTGTCTCAATATCAGTTTCAATTTCTGACAGTATTTATCCAGATTTTAAATGGCTAGCTGCTTGAATGGCTTCATACATTTAGATTGAACTACTGAACCCTACATTTGATTCTTTCTGCCGTTTCTTGTCCCGTATGATGATTGATTTTCCATAAAAAAAAATTCTAACCTACAATGTAGATTGACTGAAGCAAACGTTGTTTTTCAGTTCGTGACGTAGAAAGCAGCAGTATTTTCCTAAAAGAAAAGACATGACTTAGGCTTTTTGTGGACAAGCATTTAGTCTTCATGGCTGTCACCAAATAGGCTATGAGAATCCTTCGCGTCAAACATTCAACTCGTTTTTTTTATCGGAATACTAAGAATAAAATAACCATGCTAGTCTTGTAGTAAAAAACTTTTGTTTGAAATTCTTGTGAAAAAGGAGTGATTTTATTTCTAAATGTCATTTTTGTCTGATATTTCTAATTTTTTTTTGGAGTCCTTCGTCTGTTTCAGTATATCGTAGATGTGTGTCACGTTTCTACGATCTGTGCTTTCAGAAAATACTAGTGGTCCAGTCAAAAGGCGTGGACATTGATCTTGTCAGAACAGACTACGAACTACATGGTTATCACCATGGAAAGTATCTGTATGATTATCTAAAATGTCAGGCTGTGTAAACTTTTCTAAATTTATGATACTAGTGAATGATTTGTTACAAGATTTATGACAAAGATGCCTATATATATATGAACATCATCAGGCGAACTATGCTAATGTCATGGAGTCGGTGAAACACATCCTCTTTTCTTGTATTAATAGCATTATTGAGGGCTCCGTTTGCAGTTAGACTGGAAAGTTTTCACTTGTATTAAACTGATATTTATTTGAAAATCCAAGTTCTTTGAAGCACGGCTTGTTTTAGCTTGCAAAGAAGTCAGCATTAGTGGACTACTGAAAGTAGACATATTCTGGGAGTAACACTTATGTGCTCCAATTTGACTTTTACTGTTAGAAAAAAATCTATTTTCAACTTTAGAAAAAACACGATAAGATATCTTTTGGACCAAAATTTATCAGTCAAAATTTTTTAAAACTTTGTTCAATAAACCTATGATACAAAAATGTCAATTCTAATATGTTTAATTGACACAAACACGAACACTGGTATGATGCAGTCATGAAGCGATTCGTCAATAAAAAGTAAATATATTTCGTATCGGTAAAAGAAATATCCGGAAATTCAATGAATTATAATGTTTATCAAAAATATGTAGAAAAACTTGAATTTATTTTTAAAACTGAGCCGGAGTGGTCTCATAACTTTACCAAATGAAGTTGTATTACTTTTTAACACACAAAAAATGGAAGATATCGATGGAATATAAATTTACAAATGTTGTTACCACTCAGTGGAAATAAAACAGAGTGCATATTCTTAAAACTGAGTGAAAACGAAAAAATAGGCTAAATAGATGGAATTATAGTTTAATCATATGAATTAGAACTTAAACTTTCATAAAATGTCAAAAGAGTTTGAGGACTATAAAAAAGAAAGAAAAGTGAATATTTTGTTGAGTTGCATTTTGAATGAAAAAATCAACATGTCTTTTTCTTTCCATTTTATGAAATACTGCACCGTAGGAAATGGCTACGATCGGGCAAAATAGTAAGATTGAGGAATTGGCTTTACAAAAAAATCATTTTAGCCTGCAGTTATGCCGGTTCATTAAAGTCGGAAAATAAGCACCTTTTTCTTATTTGTCACTCCACTAATTTGCTCTTTTTTCTGTATTGAATTTCTGTTCAGTTAGTTAAAGGCATTGCACAAGGTCGTGTCTTTTTGTACATAATGACGCAGCTGTATGAAATCTATTTTCCGTTTTGAATTTTTCTTGGAGTTCGGAAATTTTGTTATTTTACAAGCCATTAAGTACAGCCACAAATATTATAGTGTAGTTCTAATCAGGTGAATTTCTTTGAGCATGCTATCAGAAATGAGCACTCTTTGATACCATATACTATTATTTATACTGCACTCGTTCTATTTGAGCAGTCAAAATGCGTTGACTGTATATTGCTATGTCATATACAGTCACTGACCCGATATCACTTTTCCTCATGAATATTTAAATAGAAGTTGCCGAAACTATATTTAATTATTCATACGACCTCTTCAACCTGTTCTTGTTTCCAATGTATACAATGAAGCGTGGAACGACCCAAACTTATTCCTTACAATTTTTGGAAATACATATTTCACTTTTTTGTTTGAAACCTATAAATCATTATGTTTTATGCTTATTGTTGATAATTTAGTCCATACTCAAACGAATTCGTTCACCATTAATTGCGGGTTTCAACAGGTAATGTACATTTCATTGCGTTGTCTATTTCTCCGTCTGATACCGGTATAAGAACTTTTTAAGGGGCGATTTTTCCAATATTTAAATCAAATAAATAACATTTACATTTTAAACAACAATTGAAAATGTTTTTTTTTTTCTAGATTGCAGTATAAAGACAATAATAGTGCATTGACTTGACATATCAACGATATAAGGATTCGGCCCGAAACGGGGAAAAAGCTCGGCAGAGCCTCGCATTTCCCCGTTTCTAAGCCTCATCCTTATATCGTTGATATGTCAAGTCAATGCACTATTATTGTTTATTTATTAATGTTCTTACGGTACTTGTGTTTTGTAATTATGTCTTGAATCGTAATTTTGGAGGCAAGTGTTTCTGGGCTGATTTTGAATGTGTGGTTTCAAAATACAAGTTTAAGCCCGCCAAAAAAAAGACACGTGGCTGTCCTAAGTCAGGAACAACGTCAATTGTTCTTTGATAGGTTCAGTTCATATATTCACTCTTTTTTATCCCGCCGATTTAGAACTTGACATATTGTACGGTGCTTGTTTTATGGAAGACTATAATTTATGTTGACCTCTAAATTATTTGGTTATTTTTGTGCGCTCACTCGACAAAAAGCTTCCTATTGTGACTCGCAGCTGGTATTTTTCAATATTAATATGCCAACAACCTGATAATTGGTACTGATATCTACTTGTCATTTTGAACTTTGATATGAGTAAAATGAGATTTGAGATATACATCAATGAGACAGGGCAACCCACCAATACCAAAACCACAAAAGACATGTAGAGGTCAAACATGTAAGTCTTCAACCATAGAAGATTATCAATACAATATGACGAGCTTTCAATCTTTCCGACTCTAGAAGAGATGTGAACAAATACGAAAGAGGATATCAAAGATCTCCCCTTTAAACAACTTCCTTTAATAACATAAGACTGTCAGTGTTAAGCGTGTTCTGTTATAACAAAAACACAAGCACATGCAAAATAGAAATAACAAATACCGCTTGAAAAATTACTTGCAGTTACTGAAATCGCTTTTTGCAGTCTTTTGCGTGAACAATTCTAAAGAGTTTACTGCAATATAACGTATACAAATTTGACATAGATTTGTTGATGCGGAATTTGATGTTGCAAAAATAATAATTGTTTTACTGGTCAACGAGAATAAATTAAGACTTGGTTTGTTGGTTGATTTACTGTTCAATGTTTACTCAAACAAGAAAATGTATTTTCTATCACAGAAAATAATTGAAAAAAAGAAATACAAAAAAAAAGGAACACAAAAAGACACGGTGCGTTTTCTTTTCATTTAGAAATTTACAGAAGCTGGTACGTGTCATGGGAATCTTTTTTTTAAACACGTGATAACTACCTAGGTAAGTCGTTACAACGACTTAGCTTACTTATAACGACTTACCTTACTCGTTAAAACGACTTAGCTTTATAACTCGTTAAAACGACTTATATTAGCTAACTCGTTATAAAGACTTATCTCAGCTAACTCGTTATAACGACTTAGCTAACTTGTTATAACGAATAAGCTAACTCGTTTTTACGACTTAGCTACTTTCTCGTTTCGACGACTAAACGATACTCCCCTGATATGTTGGGGTTGATTTACTTTCTACGATTTAATTGTCTTCTTATTTGTAGATTTCTTAATTTCGACTAAGTGCACATTAATGAGAAATAGAAGTTGGAAAATGTACAATTGCAAAAAATACAAAAAATGAAATTGAAGATGAAATACATTTTT